TATATAACTTGATTCATTGTTGCAATTTAAAACCAGGGTCTAAAAGTGGCTTATATAACCAATTGCTCAACAAACAGGGCACAGGGTAGGATGACGTGATCAGAGTAGGATATACAGTATGATAAAGTAAATAGAGAAGTATACAGAACTAGAGAATGCAATTCCTGAAGAAATTGCTAGTGGGAATGCTTTATGCTGAAAAGCTGACGCTAAACTGCTATGCTGAAATGTAATGTGTAAGAAGAAAGTGAAGAATTTAGATTGAAATGATACATGAACACTGGGGGCTTGAATGTGTGATGAGAAAATAAAAGAAAGTAAAAAGGCTTGGAAAAGCAGCAGAATATTTGAACTGCAAACTTTTGAACTAACTTGATGGCGAATGATCTGTCGCCATGCCAACGACATTTGATGACATCCCATAATACGCTTAGATGCGTTGATGGCTGCTTCGTTACCAAACCTGTGAAGTTTTGGGCCGTTTGGAGCATTTTCACTGAAGTTATGAGAAAACCGTGTTTCATGGCGAGCATTGTGTTGCCATGGAAACAGCATATGATGAAACCCCATAATTGACGTAGAGCTGTTGAGGGCTGGACTGTTAACCATTATCTGAAGTGTGGTGCTGTTTTGACCCTTTTCATAGGCGTTACGACAACATCGTGTTTTATGGCGAGGGATGCGTTTCCATGGAAACGGCATATGATGAGATGTCAGATTTGACGTAGAGCTGTTGAGGCATGGAGAGGTGATATACAGGTGAAGATTGTGGGACGACCGGACCGTGTCCATTGGAGCTACAGCGACATCGTGTTTTATGGCGAGGGATGCGTTTCCATGGCAACAGCCTATGGTGAGATCTCAGATTTGGCGTAAAGCTGTTGAGGCATGGAGAGGTGATATACAAGTGAAGATTGTGGGACGACCGGACCGTGTCCATTGGAGCTACAGCGACATCGTGTTTTATGGCGAGGGATGCGTTTCCATGGCAACAGCCTATGGTGAGATCTCAGATTTGGCGTAAAGCTGTTGAGGCACGGACCGGTGATATACAAGCGAAGTTTGGGAGACGATCGGACCGTGTCCATTGGAGTTACAAACACATCGTGTTTTATGGCGAGGGATGCGTTTCCATGGAAACGGCATATGATGACACCCCATAATTGACGTAGAGCTGTTGAGGGCAGGACCATTAACCATTATCTGAAGTCTGCTGCTCTGAGCATGTCAGTTGGAGTTATGACATCATCGTGTTCCATGACACAGGTGTTTATATTTGAGCTAACGACGTGTCCAGAGAGGGAAAGATGAGGCTGAACTTACAATGGGGTTTAATGGAGACATGTTGAACGTTTTTGTCACTTCATGCCCTCAAGAGGCATTTTGTTTAATTATTTTGCTTAATTTATTTTTATTTTTCAAGCTACGAGATGTTTTCCTACGTTTCTCATGATGAAAATTATGTCTCAGGAATGTAGGGTTTGGGAATTATGGCAGGTTTAAAAGAAAATATAAAGGCAAAATGAAGTCTGTCCTCCACTCTAGCTGTGACATCACGCACTCTAAAATCTGAAGAAGGCCTCTTTACCAAGGTCTGAACAATGTTTAATATCTCTAAAAGTACGAATCAGATTTAAAAGTTGTGTTACACGAATAATGTCAGAAAGATGTGTAACATTTTAAAGTTGGAATGAGGTTTCTGAGTGAAAGTATGAATGAACAGTTAGCAGTTGAAGTTGCATGAAGATTGTTCAAGTCTGAAGAGTTTCTCCATTGACTTCCATGTTAAAAATGTGATGAATTATGGGATGTATCTCTGGAATTATGAAAGTTATGAATAAGAAAAGTAATAGCCATCGATTCCCGACCGAGCTGAACGTTTTGATGTTTGAACGGAGTTTCTGCGATGTGGAATGTGGGAGAAGAAGAGGTGCAAAATAACCCGGCGGAATAATAAAGAATTTTATGCGTAGCATAATGCTGCGTTCACACCGGACGCGATGCGATGTTTGGGGGCGGCGCGATTACATGTAAAGTAAATGCAGAGATGCGGACAGACGCGAATTCGCTCCGACGGCGCGCATGAAGCGGTGGACGCGGCGCGAATCACGCGATTGAGGCGATTGAACGGTGCCGCGTTAACCGCGAGAGTTCAATTCTTTCAACTCGAGCGTCAAATTCACGTGACGCGTCCTCGCGTAAGCCAATCAGCGGTGAGGATCTCAGCCTGCCGTCACTGACGTTCAACCACACAACCATACTTGCCAACCTTGAGACCTCAGAAATCGGGAGCATTTCAAAACCACCGTGGGGGGGGGGGGTGCTAGTGGATCGTGTATTAGATTAACATTGACATGCTTATTGTAGTTGTAAGTGCACTGCCTTGCGGCCTGTAGCACCATCCTTGATGGAGCATATGTGTGGGCTGGACCTGTACTATACAGGAAAGGAGTGAGCAGAGGGTTGAGTTGTCGATTCTTGTTCTGTTTTCTGTGACTATCTTCCTCACCCTCTCAGACTTTCAGTTGCGCGCGCTACTAAAGGGACGCGCTACCATGGAAACCAAACAATGGTGTAGCTGTATTAAAGTCCGAGTGGAAACAGTCCTGAGTAAATCTGATTTTGTCAGAAATCGGGAGAAATGCGGGAGAAATATGACCCCGGGAGGAAACCGGGAGAGGGCAATGAAATCGGGAGTCTTCCGCGAAAATCGGGAGGGTTGGCAAGTATGCACACAACATCAGCCGTTAGCTGTTAGCAGTTAGCACACAGAGCTCACAGCTCCTCATATCTGTTCAGAAACTGGACAAAAGTTAAACAAGTACAAACCACAGACTGTCTGTGTCATGGCGAATACAGTCGCTGGTTTATTTATGTCTGTAGGTCGTTGTTATGAGTGTGGAATGAGCATATACAACAACCGGTATCAGTATGTTGTTACTTCGGCATCATTTAGAAACGTGTATTACAATTTAATCACGGTAAAATATGTTCATTTTGTTGTAGTTGTAGCTCCCGAGCCAGCGCGTCTTGTTTGAATGATGCGAGTAAACACAGCTGGCAGCTGCGGTGAAACTCGAGCGTTTAGAGCGATGCGATAGGAGCGATTAGAGCGAAGCGAATATTCGCATCGCGTCCGGTGTGAACGCAGCATAACAGATAGTTGGAATGCTGTATCAGCAATAAAGTGTGCAAAGTAGTATACAGAATGAAGTACACAACATATGATACAGGACAACAAACCAGTGTTTTATTTGAGTTTGGCTAATTTATTAGACACAAATTGTGCTCCCACATGCTGGCAATCAGATTGTTACTATGATTACCAAATTGTATGCAGAAACATGATTTATTTTTAAGATAAAAAATAAATCGCATGTTGGTAAACCACCAGAGTTTGATTGGCATCCTTCACATCAGCCCGAGTTAGTTTTATGATCTGAAAGCAGATTCAATCAGCACAGATCTTACCTTTATGAAGCATATAAGCTGACAGGATCAAAGAAGACATAGCAAAGTCAGTGTGTTCGTTAGTGTGTTATATTCCTGATCAATAATGAATCAAAGGGTAGATTTGTGTGAAAGCTCCCTTTGAATTAGGCTGTAGCCTATTTTTAAAACCAAAACCCGTACTGTCAGAAATATTATTCATAAAAACTGCAATCAAGAAGTCAGGGGAAAATCAGTGTTCCATAATTAAGGTTTATTTTGATATAGAATCATTTTACAACCAAACTTTGAATGCAATGCATTTGCAAAATGTACAAAAATATGTTTAAAAATACCAATGCAGACATTTCATTACTCCAGTATATACGTATATTAGAAATAATCTTTACATTGAATAGAGTATGAATTTATGTATTTTTGAATATATTACAAATACAGTGCATAATGCATAGTGACAACATTATGCATATCTTAAACCCTGTAATCTTAAATAATTAAAATTACTAAAATAGTAAAGCTCAGGTCAAAATGTGAAAGGTGACAATGTCCTCATCTGCAAAATGTAGATGATAACCAAGTAGAACGCAGCTTCAAATTGATATGCAAAAAGCCTCAGGTAAAAATGTGGAGAGGGTGATTGGATGTAGAGAACACATGTGACTTTGATGCTAAATACCTAGTTTTGTCTTCTAACAACAGTCAGGGTTCACCCAACCTCACACTAGTATGCACAAATGTGTCCCATGTGATGTGAGGTTTGGAGAGTAAAACGTGTGTAGGCGTACTCCAAAAATTAGGGATTGTATTCCCAGGGGTTTTCTAGAAAATTATAGTATGAGGGCAGGGGCGCTGATCTTTTATATAACATATATCAATTCTCGGGAGAACATGTCGCCCGTATACAAGATGGTGCCGCAGACGTAAACATCAACGTGGCGCTGGAGCTCCGTACATCAAAGCTGTATATGCCGTCTGACGGTCTATTTGACACGATTTTCATATTTTTGGAGTAATTATACTGTATTTGACAAACAGAAATATTGTTTTCTGGCATCCCTTTAAAATTTGACAGGGAAAATCTGCATTTTGGTATGAGGGTGCACACTAAAAGTAAGAGGATGCAGCGCCCCTGTTACCCAGTTTAGAAAATACCCTGATTCCTATAATGTTAAGGAACTCACCACAAGCAGATTAAAAACAGATGGCAAAATTAAGTCTTCTAGTACAGGTCAAGTTTAAAAAAAGCAAGATCCTACAATTGTATTTCTGTAGTACATTCCCCAGAGGATGGACTTTGATCATTTGAATGAACCAATGCTTTTATGGGAGTATCTGGGGAATACGTACACTACTGGACAGTCTCTATGAATAGCAAAATCATTAATGTTTCATCAAACTATTTATAACTTAGGCATTCATGAAGGCGGCAGCCTCTATGTGTTGCTATATAAAGCCTGAGATTTTTTTTCTTTTTTCTTTTATAAACCTTTTAAATGTAAGTGACATAATGGTTGCAAACATTTAAATGGAAAAGTAAGCAAAAAACATAATTTGGCAGCATACAATAAAGTCATTTAATATCGTCATACAACAAAATAATATCTAATATTTGTAGCAATAAGCAGTAGGATTGTCACACGTAAATCATAACTCTTCCAGCAGGACTGTATTTTCTTGACACATGCCTGAATTCTTCCTACTTTTTAAGACTTGAATGATAACATATGGCTTGCTTCTCTTACAGATACTTTAAACCTGTCAAGCTTATTTTGGCAAGTCCAAAATTACAGTTTGAGAGCAACAAATAAGAGTCTGGAAATTGCCACTCTGAAGCCTGAACCCTAGAGAGAGGTGCTAACCCGTTTGTTCCTCTACAAGGCCTTTGGAAGAGTTCCAAGTCTTTGACATGTAAGTCTTATCAGTCCTCACCATACATGGAGTGCCCCTTTTCTTGAGAAACTGGGACTAAAGCAATTTAGCACATAACCACCAACACTTTCCATAAATGGTGACGGAAAAACAGACTTTTGAATTTGTGAAAATAAAAACTAACCACATGTTGTCTTCATTCTTGTAAACAGACTGTTTTATTATTTATAAAAAATGTACTTTAATGCCTGTGGAACCATATTATTGCTTAATCTGGAATTGAAAAAATGTTCTGTTTGGCTTCATAGACCTGTTCTTACTTATGTGGCATTTCTGCCAACACACAGCTTCACTGAATCCCTTTTGTAAATTTGCTTAAGAGGACCATGTCATTGTGGCTGTAGTTCTCATTCGACTCGTTGAAAACAGAGAAATGTAAAATACTCTGAATGAGTTGAGTCTTTAAGCATTGATAACAATTTCAAAAAATAAATCAGTTAGGTCACATTGTGGGCCAACTGTATAATTTCACTAAAGTAAACATATGCAGATAATAGTCATAGTTGGTCCTATCATACTGAAAAACAAGTAGGAAAAGCAGTTGAATGAAATACAACTAGGAAATCTTTTTTTTTTTCAAGCAAGATTGGAGCTATACAACCTTCCAGGCAGCCAATCATATTTCAGGACACTGCACAGAGCTACAGCAACAAGTAAAGGCCACAGATGAGTCTTAATAATGGGGTGCTAATTGGTGACATATGCGCTGTGTCAGAAATGTTTGTTCACTCATTCATTTCTCCCCAAATACCCAATGGTTTACTCAATATAAAGCAGCAAATTGACATTTACGACACATACAAATCATCATAGTTTATCCTCATCATTACATGTTAATAGTTGTACAACCATAATTATTGCAAATAAAAAATGTGATGCATTGCATTCTGGGATGTTAGCATAAAGTACTGACCAAGTTGAAGATAAAAAAAAACTGTAAGCCTAGAAGAAATTGCTTTTAAGATCACTGTTTGATCATTCAATGTAATACACACACAGGAGCAATGCAAATATAAGTCTATAATATTGGCTTAATAACAAAACAAATATGATTGGACAAGATATACAGTAACATGTTTCTTACAACGTCTCACAGTGATGGATTACACAACTCCTGGTGCTCCATAAATAATAGGTCATAGAATATGCTTTTTCAACCAGAAGTTATTACTTCTAACAATGCTGTAATTTATCATATATTTATTAACTTTAAGGTTGCATGATTACTTTTTGCAAGGTAATCATGTGAAAATGGTGTGTCCTGTTCTTTCATTGTGACTTTTCCAAATGGATTTTTAGGGAGTGTACTGTACTTTTTACATAATTTGAAGACAATCATTTCTCTTGGTCAGATCTGCACTGAAGGAGGGAATAATATCTCACTGGTTGATATGGACCTCTTTTGATGAAGCCAATTGGATCCACAGCCTTCAAGCACAGCATGAGTGTTATCTACTTCTATTCATAGTATACGGTTATATGCAGTTTTAATATGACTCATATTCTGGAATAAATTGATAATTATTAATTAATTAAGGAAGACTTTGCGTACTGCAATTCTACTGCATGGGTTCTGAGTAGAATACATCATATGATTTGCCCCATTAGCTCACACAGGACGGCAAAAGGTCCTTTCAGCCTTTTTAAAATACACTTTCATCATTATTTCATCATTTATATATTTTGTTTAGGAAATGTGTCTGTGTGTTGTTTGCATTGAAATGAAATGGGAAGAGGGATTAATCCAAAGTATTAACAAAACCTTCAGTAACATTGACTTAAACATAGAGTAAAAGAGGAGGTAGCTATTCATAAAGTTATTTCAAATCCAAGTTGTCTTGCTATTGACACAAAAACAACACAACTTAGTTATAAAAATCTTGGTGCTTACCTGACTTACTTAGAATGAAACCCCACTTTCGTAAGCTGCTTTTCAAACTTGGCAAGAATAAATTAGCCATGTAAGTCTGGTATCTCAGTAAGAAACTGTAGGTTGCTAGCGTGCTGACTGTCTTTGATCATGAATTCCATAATCAAGAATTGATGCCCTGCCTATTTCACTTTAACTCAACTAATGAGGTTATTTCTGCCTCCAGTGCAGCTGATCTCCACACGCACACTTTGTCATAAAGTAGTCAACAGTCATACACATCTCTGTAAAACAGTGATACAGTAAATTCTCGAAACACTCTGTGTTCAATAGCATCCTCTCCCCTGCTTCTTAGTCATCAGATGTTGGGTCCTTTGCTGTAATGTTCCCTGAGGTTGTAGTTTTGATAACACATGGAAACATCACAAACCCCTGGAAGTCCTGGATTGCCCCGTTTACCAAGAACTCCTGGAGGCCCTGGTTTTCCAGGAATTCCCTCATTTCCTGGATGGCCGATTCCATCAAAGCCACGTGGACCCTGAATTCCTGCAATGATAAAGAAAGAAATAAATAAAGAAAGAAAACGGCTATAACTGGTACTTCTGCCTCATTTATGGCAAGAGAGCTCCATTAAATTAGGTCATAGTTCTTGCTCTATGAACTAAAAATAGCACATGCTGGATCATAAATTACATCTACTCATGAATTAATAAGCTATTATAGCTTCCAGAGAAATTCAGCACTCACTGTCTGTACACCCCACCTACCGAGCTGTCACTTAGAGATCTCATTGAAAATTAAGTAAAAACAGGATCCACCCACATAATCATTAAAAATGTAACAGAGCAAACAGCCTTGATGCACTTTAGTTAAACATTCACGGATCGGAAAGGCCAAATGTCAGAACACCCTGGTAAAGTTGCGGAAATAGCTTAATGGGTGAAGACATTTTAAAGACAAAAAAGAAAAAGGGCTTTTTGCATACCTTGCTGTCCAGGTGGTCCTGGAGGTCCAATGTAACCTTCACCTTTGCCGCCTTTAAGCCCTCTTGGTCCCATGTCACCTGGGGGAAATAATATATATGCTTTAAAACCTTACATGAAAGCTTTTTAAAAAATGAGCTTTGAGAAACCGAAAGGCTATTGTCCCTCTAAAGCAGCTATTTCCAATCCTTGACTGTGTAAGAGTCTGCGGGATTTTATTACAAAGTAACACTACAGCAATTTATTTCACCGACTGAATAATAGGGTTGAATAAATCAAAGGAATCTTTTGGGTTAAAGTTACCTCCATTGTGGACAAAGAAGGTTCAGTTTTACATTGTTATCGGAAAAAGTATTTGCCATAGATTTAAAGAATTGTGAAATCATGGGTGGCTCAAAATTCTCTGCAGGATATAACGTGACTAGTAGAGTCTACAGCCAAGCCCTGGGGAGCTGTAGTAGCCCTAACAGTGCTTTAAACTAAATATGAATATAATGCTCACAATGACAAAGCAATTATGATGATGTTAAGCAGATTACAATGTCCACGATCCCAATTTAGCTTGTTACCATGCTATACTTTGCTAATTAGTTGTACACACAAACTGCAGCTGAGGCTGATAGAACTGTCATTCATTATGCAGGTGATGGTTGTAAACCAAAGTGTTGTAAACATTAAAAGTTCAATCTGATGGCCCTGGATGAACAGTTATGGTGTTCTTATAGTGATTACAATTCATCCTTAGGGAATATCTTTACTAAATGATATTGCAAGGGTACTTTCAATGAAAACTGAAAATCTCCTAATGACTCAAACTAATTAATCATCTAAAACCCTGAATATATTTACCAAATATATACTGTATACAGTATTAGATATATAGTATATACAAAATGTTGTTGGTTAATACATTTGATTTGCTGGTCAGGAAAAGTCAGGTAAATAGAAAAAAACAAATAGGATTTTGTCTTCGGACCAAAGTCATGGACTGACAGAAAGACCAATCAGCATTGCCATCCCCATAGCAGTCAGAATGGAAGAAAAAGCCTCCATATCCAGTTTTATTCCCTAGTGTCATTATAGAGGCTCCAACTGCTGGATCCTTCACTTTCCATAATCCAACTTGATAGGGTCTTTTAGTAGACCTTCCAAGGATGGTACATTTCCCCCTTTTTCTAACTTCAAAATGCTTCCAATTTGAGATATTTTCAGTAAAGCTCTCATCTTCAAGTCCAGCTTTCAGTCGCTTCCCTTGGTGTTTTCAGCCAGGCTGATACCTCTGAAGTGGCTGTTCCCCTGAAGTCACCAGTTTACATGGAACAAAGCAGCGGTGTGGTACAGTTTGGCATCTTTCACGGCTGATTAGCCACTCCCTGTCTTGAAGTGGTTATAAATCAAAGACAGCTCTCTGAGATGTGTTTGCATTCAGTTGTTGTCTTTTGCTCTGCTGACTTTCACTGATGTTCGCTTGTTTAATGATCTTGTTTTATGGGGTACAGTGAACATCAACACATCCAATTTGCTAGTCGTTGACACTGTTTAGATTTTAATCGTTGATGAAAGCAGCAGTACATTTTGTTGTAGCTCTCTTACAAAGTTGTGTTGTGTTCATAGTTTTGGTTTTAATTAGGGTAGAGAAAATGATTACAATATTTGTGTCACTGTTATAGATAGTGGAACAGAAACCACTGGGGCATTGAATACAGAAAACATAAACTGGTCAAACCATGTAGATTTTTCCCTTTATAACATTATGGTTGATATTACCTTTAAGGCCTAAAGGACCGTGCATTCCAGGAGGCCCTGGGTACCCGGGATTTCCACCTCTGCCAGGGTAGCCTGGAGTTCCCATTGAGCCTTTGGGTCCTTGTGCTCCAGGCTCGCCCGGGGTCCCCTTAACACTCTGGCAGGGTTCACACTTGGCTTGGGGAACCAGGCTCTGGAGCAGTGATGGAAGATGATCTGCTTGGCACAGCCAAAATGTGCTGAGTTATCCATTTGGATATCAAATATTTTGTCAAAATTGCTTTCATAGCTGGCCTAAGCAGAGTATGAATATATCCTACAATGGTGTAATGATTGACATACTCATTTCTGTTTAGTATTCTAAGAAATAATGGAGATTTAGAGATTCTCAGGACTCTGTTAGTTCCGTGCAATCGGTAGTAAATCATGTTTGCTGCAGAGAACTTGGGTGCTTTCCAGTCAGCAAATTATGCTGCCTCCAATCATTGCTCCCATGACCCTGAAATTGGTCAAGGTTGACCATCATAGCGGAAGATCCAATTAGAGCTCAGACAATAAATTGACTAATATGTCACTCGATATTCCTAGCATCACTGCAAACTGTGTAAACTAGCTGTAGAGAGAGCAATAAAGTAAACATGATCATATTTGTTTATATAATCACATGAAAATTACTTTTTCTAACTTTGCCGGATTTTTCTTCTTCAGATGAAGGACTTTATCAAGTTCATCTTTGAACATATAGGGAAAGTGAGAGGGTTCAAATATTTGTCATGCACATACTGTATAGCTGCAGCTAAATGCAACTGGATTACCAGTTATTACAATATTGCATCTATATTACTATGGGTTTCGACCTATTGCATAATTGTTGGGAGGAGTTAAGATAAGTTAAAGTTAAAGCCTTTTATTGTCATTGTACACAGAGTACAATGAGATTCAGAGTGCAACTCTGTCCCGGTGTGCAAAAAATACAAACACATAAAGAACACTAAAAAACACGGCCATAGGACAGACACCATAAACAATCATACGGGGGAATAAATAGTTAAAAATATTGATATAAAAATAGTATATAAAGTGCATATAGTATATAAAGAATTACTGAGGGAAGCGAGTAGGCATGTTAAAATCGAAAGCACCCATAGTTTTGCTTGACTTAGAATGCAACCACTAAATGACTGATTTACAATTACATTCAGATTCTTGTCAAAAAAAGGAAAAAACTTCAAAATCCATTATTATGTTGGGTTATTTTACATTGTGCAACTCTTTCAAGAGAGAGTTATTACTTAAATGTTTTACCAGATACCTTTTTAACCCTATTATCTTATAATCAGTGTAAATTAAAGAAAGAAATTGTGTGAAATGTGCAACTCTACTCTTAACAGCATTTGATGTGAGCTAGGAGGGAATTTCAGACCCAGGCTTTTATACTGTGGATCTCAGCAAAATGACATAAAAGCAAACAGATACTTACTACGCAGAACATCAGTGCAGAGCTTTAGAAGATGTTCATCTGAGGGAGGCTTGCCCTGTAACACACAATTACACTTTGATTCAGCCGGATCCACTATGGGACTGGGAAAACAGGCTCAACCTGTGATTGAGTGTGCCTGCAGATCTACAGGATCTTATCAACGCTCCATTATCTGTATTCACAGAGCCCACACACACTGACAGCAATGCTACCATTACTCCCAGAGCTAACTCACCCAATCCATGCAGAAAATGACTGACTGTGTCTTTCAGTCTACTTTTCTTTGCTTTTCTTTTGTTGTTTATCTGCTCAGAGGATACGGTCCGGGAGGAGTTTTACTCACAGGTTTCCCTGGATATCCTGGTTGGCCTGGTTGGCCCGGCAACCCGTCCTGTCCAGTAAATCCCCTGGGACCAACAGAACCCATGTGGCCCATGTGGCCCATGTCCCCTTTCTTCCCTTCAGTTCCCCTATGGCCTAAGTCACCCGTGGCTCCTGTCTGAAGAAACAAGAGAGATGACACAAAATCAGAAATTAAAAAGAAAAAGGCTGAAATTGGCTTATTTTGTAATAATTTACAATATTACAGTATAATATCTTATTCATAATGATCAATAAACAGTAAGTTGAGCCCTGCCGCGGAGCATTGTTCCAACATTGCTTAACTACCATAATAAGGAAGGTGGCTCAAGTCTAGCCTTAGAAAAAAGTCAGTCATATAAAGAATTCAGGGTGTTTTTTTTGTTAACCTTCGTAAAACCAAAAGCAAATGTTTAAGGAATGATTGAAACAGTGTGTTAGTTTGCTCCAATATGAGTTGCAACCATTAGCTTGTCCAGCTAACTAGCTTACTAGCTACTGCAAAGTAATGTTAACTTGTTTTGATGTTACTGTCTGTGTAACTACGAAGGAGAATATAGAGAATGTTACAGTTAACACAAATAACAATCTTTGTATAACAAGCACATCTACTATGTAGTGTTTTCCAACTGCGTGGAATAGTGGACAGTGGCTATGTCCTGTGTTGCAGTCACATGATGACATGTAGCTTTAGCCTTTGTTAGCACAGTCCCTGTATACCAAATGCATATTAAAAACAAATTCGAAAGGAGTCTCGTTTTAAAACGATTAAACCTAGAACAATTAAAGGTTAGAAGACAGCAGTTAGCTCAGTTAGCTTATTTCTCTAGAGAATAAAGATTTCAGTCGTTAATTCAGAGAAGTTGCCTTCATCTGGTTACAAGCACCCATTGTTTCAAGAAATAAGACATAAAAGTAAATCTGCCAACTAATTATTCGAAACAAATGTACCATGCCGAAATGGAAATCTTGACAGGTTTAACAGTAAATATGGGCACTAGGGAGGCTATATCTCCATCAATTGGGATTCTGTAGACAGTACTGTAAGTGTTTGATATTGCAGTTGATGCGCCTTTGGAAAAGAAGCCTTTTGTGATGTATATTTTGCCCGGGGGCCAGATTTCCCGAGGCCTGGAGGTATTGCTAGTCTTCTATAGCAGCCGTGCAGGCTTGACAGGGCTTTCCACTGTGCTGCAGAATAAGACAGAATGGATTATATCTAATACAGCAAAGTCTAATTCGACAAACCTCTCCTTTCCTTCCCATGGGTCCCACTTCGCCCTGATGGAAGAAAGAAAAGAGAGCAGGAAGGGTGGGGAGGCAAAGAGAAGAGGGGGGAATAGAGAGAGACAGTTAGAAACTTCAGTTTACATATCAAAGGCTGAGTTAGTATGTCAGAAAAGCTACGCTTGCTGCTCTGCATTGCTGATGCAGAACCATTCTCTTTTCTTTCAAAACCCGTGGCTTACAAAACATTTTAGAGTGGTTATTGAAATGCATTCTCTAAAGTTTTTTTTTGTTGCTAAAAAAGGCTCTGGATATGTTCTGCTTTCCTAAAAAGGCTTCCTGTTTTCCATCCACACGCTGTTCTTTACTGGTAAGTGATTTCAGCCATCTTAATGTTGTAGGGGACAAATAAGCCAGTGTCATATCAGTTTGCTGAGTAAGTACATGGTAAACACTTGACTATCATTGGGAGTACTTTTAAAAGCAAATTCAATGCCCACAGGACAGATGCACTGCTCTGCCCTTGCATGAAGGCCCAGTCAAACAAACAGGATGCCATTTTTTGTGAACTGAGACATAATGGGACAATCCATCAATACCCCAAAACTGAAAAGAAGCTGAGTGATTCAACAAGGGGAAGGTTCAGCTTCATGCAAATGTCCTCTTATGAACAGGATACAACTGAATTATTCCATACTGAAGCACTACGTTTTTTCTATTTTATTCAACTGAGCAAAATAACTTTAAACAAAAAGAGAAAGTTATAAAAAAATGAATACCTGATCTTGTTGGGAGCAGCAGCCTCCCAGTTCCCTATAATATAATTTTAACAAGCTACAAGGACATGAATATACAACAATGCAACGCCACTACTGGCAACATCACACAATTACTGGCACTTTTGAACTCAGTATGTAAATGACATGCTAAACATAAACAGTGCAACAGGCTTCAAGCTTTTTGGTGATGAGACCGCGTGCATCTTTTGGTCACATTTAATGACACTGTGAAGTTGAACATACACTTGTTAGGAATAATGGCCATTTTCTCTCCCCATGTGAGCCCAGTGGCCTTGCGTTTGCGTTCAAAACAACGCAGACCTAAAACAAAACTTATTTTAGGAAAGGTATACATGAATTAAACACACCATTAAAATATAGAATTTCTATTTAGGGCAAATCCATCTACCCTGATTTATTTTTGCAGTTCTGATGTTACACAAACAATGGAAGCTCACATTTGAAATGGTAAACCATCAACTAAAAGGCAAACTAAATGATATGTTCTTGTATTTCAAGATTTGTTTCCAATATTTAGGTAGAAGTTTAAGATGAACAATCTCTAACAAATCTATCCTCTCTGCACAAAAGTATTTCAAGACGGCGCCACAATCGCCATAACATTTTGGAGACAGCACTGCTGAGAGTTGATTTGTCCTCCATACAAAGAAACATCAGTTTGTCATAGTCAGCCATGGTTTTTGTTTACGTTTGGCATTGTGCACCTGGAACGCTTGGAGGTCAGAGGTTGAAAATCACAACTGGGAAAATAACGACCCTCGAGTTGTCTGGAACACAGCGTTATATCTCTTTTTTGGCCCAATTCCCACTCTTGTGCCTTTGGATGCTCTGTCTTACCATTTTCAAGAAGTAAGACTCTTCATTTATCCTTTACTCTGACTGGCTGCCAACCAGTCTACACAGCATGTCAGTCTGCTGTAATCCATCAGGTGCCAAAACCTCTAGAAATGTAGTTCTGATTCTGAATTTCCTTCTATAACATTATTTGCATATCATTCGAATGAACTGTCAATCTTTACTTTAAAGTCAACAAGTATGTTCAATCCTAGGAATTCATAGAAAGTCAAAAAGTTTGCATATTTAAATATTGAGTTCCATTGCAACTGAGCAAACTCAATATGCTGGGATGGTATTGCAGACTAACAGAACATTGGCTTTTTCAATCTGTAATAAACTCCAAGCAACCCTAGTGTACGGGTCGTCGCGAAAAATGGAGTTATGTACTCTGCAATCTGAATGCCACATACTTCCCAGGAGAAGACAAGCGATGATAGGGAGGTAAACCAGGAAAACAGAACATAGCCTCTGCCGAACTGCAGTGCAGTCATATTTATTATACCCAGTAAGTATTAGGAAGTCAGTCTGAAGACAAAAATATGTCCTATTCTTTTCAGCAGCAACACACTTGTGATTCACCGCTGATGCATTTAGCCTTGAGAGTGTGTCACTTGGAGGCTGGGCGGCTCTCAGCACTGTATTTCTCAATATGCAGCTTAATGTTCACACTCTGTAATTCCTCAATCGTTTTATCCGTCTCAAGTGTCATAGACAGGACAACACAACTTTGTCTCCACATGATGCAATATTGCTACTGCTGCAGACACACACACACACACACAAACCACCACACAACACACACACCACACACACACACACACACACAACACACACACACACACACACACACACACACACACACACACACACACACACACACACACACACACACACACACACACACACACACACACACACACACACACACACACACACACACACACACAAGCTCCTCTGAATGGATTAATTGTCTTTGCCCTATCTAGGAACGTGAAGATGCCTAAGCAATCGATACTTACCGATCAATTCCTAAATGCTACCCATTTGGTATCGTTCCTATTAAAACATAAATTACAAAGCTTTGTTTGGAAGCTGGAAATTGCAAATCACACATCAATTTATTTGCTTATTACCAATAATTGACGAGGATAGATAGCTTATCTTTGAACAACTAGAGGGAAGATAACAATAAATGCTCTCTATCCAAAGGTAATACAATCTGCATACCAGCACATAACCTATTTACATGATATAGGCCTTGGTTGTAGCTTAAAAAACTTAAAAGTTGTGACTCTAGGTGAGTCACTGCATCTGACAGATGGCAGATACCCTCAACCTCCCTAAGCACAAACATACGGAAAAAAACAGCGACCTTTAGAACTGTACGTGAAAAGATGAATTAGTCAGTGGTACGCTTAGTGATATAGGGACTACTCAAAGTGCACTGCAATTACTGATTCCCTAGCTGGTGAACTAGTAGCTAACACGCTAAAAGCAAACATGCTTGTAACACCTATTAAATAGACATTACACATGTTACAGTAGATAATGACACGGGTGGACTATAGGTCAATGATGTAGCTGCTTCCTTCTCAGGGTCATGGTATTTGTTCATGCTGCCTTATTGTCAGACTGCCATGTTACTGGGAGACTAGATAGAAGAGAGTCCTTGTTAATATAAATGTTTCTTTCATTTTTTGACCATTCGGAATGTATGCTGTGAAAAACATCTCTCTGAACTTGCTAGCTTGCTAACTATAAGCCACAATTAATACATTTATCACAATCAGATAGCAGCTGTGTTAGCTCAATCGCTAATTGGACATGCCATCCCTTTAGTTTATTAACAAGATGTATTGGTATCTGTGTGTCAAACGGTCTTAAAACATCTAACCTTCTCTTTAGTGAAGCAGTATACTCTGCAAAGTAAATTGGCAATTCCTTTATTGAAAAATGTCCCTGTTGCCAGTGACAACTGCTGCCAGTCTCTGATATGTGCTTATGCCTTCCCATTGTCAGATATGTTTGCCTGTTTCAGAATACCTTGAAATTGCTACCTGTAAGTGTATACTAATCATTGATTTTAAGTTAAACACCTGTAATTCAGCCTTCCCTGTCTGAGCTTCTGTCATCGGGTCCTTTTCACTGTTGCCAAGACTCTAAACCGTGACACTATGATCCTCACGGTTGTTCTGAGGATGAATCTAAAGACCGAAGGCGGTGCCATGAGGGCCCTGAGACTCTGGAACAACTTCCCTAAAGAGATTAGCTCGGCTTAGTCATTTATCTAATTCTGTGTCCCTGCTGAAAGTTTACTTTTCAGAAAACAGTACATTTTATTTGATTTTATGATTTTATATTACTCTCTGGAGCTTCCGTGCGGTTTCATACTCTCTTTTTTCTCTTGTCCCTTCTCATTTAGTCAGTTTTAGCCTGTCCTATATTACTCTGTTCTTCTATTTACCTGCACTGTATTCTGTTTCGACTTTTATTGCATTTTTATGTTTTTTTATTTGCTGTCTGATTTTAATCTTGTAAAGCACCCTGTAAAATCACTTTCAGAGAGGTGCTATATTATTATTGATCGAGTTTATGATGATCATTTCTATTCTGTGATAAAGTCTTTATGGGGACTTGTATCAGGCTATTTATGATATTAAATACAGACAGACTCCACAAAATTAAAACTCAAGTTTTAACCACAAATTCGCTCCTTGTAAGTGAGGGCTGGCCAAGAAATTCCCCCTTATCCTTGTGACCTTGTTGGGACATTTGGTTCTCATAAATGTACACACACACACACAAACACATATTTAAAGCCAGATAAACCCTGCCAAACCCATAGAAACATAGTCCTTGCTGCCATCGAGTGGAAGCAGTATGACTCTACACTTACAGGTACTCCAGGGGTCCCTGGTTCTCCATCTCTGCCTGAGTTCCCCTGCAAAGAGATACATCATGATTAACTGAACGTTTGTGTGAGTTTGTTTACATTTGTGCTGGTATGGCTTCATGTGGTGTGTGCGTGTGTGCATGGGTGAGATTGAATGTGTACACAAACGAGTGTGTTGATTTAGCTGTGTGCTGGTCCATGTCTTCATTCTGTGTGTGTGTGTGTGTGTGTGTGTGTGTGTGTGTGTGTGTGTGTGTGTGTGTGTGTGTGTGTGTGTGTGTGTGCGTGTGTGTGTCTGTCTCTGTGAGTGGAGAAAGGTCATGATTACCACTAGCAGCCAATAAGAGAAACCAAGGGAGAGAGGGGATAGGAATTGGCTAGTAGTGACCTTTAACAGACCACACTTTTTATTTTACGTGTGGCTTTCCAATTGCTTCCTGCAGAACTGTAACACACTTCTTCTCTCCTTCATTTTATACTGCATCAGAGCATTCATCACATGCTTTGATTGTTCAATTTGTGACTGATGCTCTGGTCACAAAGGTAGAAGTAGAACAAGGTGACATAAGGTGCATGCGATGAGATTGAGGCGTTGATATCTGGAATAGGCCCCATCCCGCTGTGACAGTGAAAAACCAGGTGTAACCAATAGATGTTTAATTGAAAACAAAATAACATATAAACTGAAGCCCATGAAGGTTTTTCGATGTGTTATGCCATTTGTCTCGATCCAAATATTACTGCCTAAACCAGGGCTATTCAATTAGTTTGGAATGGGGGCCGGTTGATGAAAATGATCCAAAGCAAGGGGCCGGGAAAAAGATGGCTTGAAATATGAGCAATCATATTTAAGAGCTTCAGATACAGTAAATACTACAACAGCATAGTGGAGTGCATATATTGTGTTTAATTCAATCAAACAACATAGCCCCAAGGCCTTTATAGATCTAAATGGCAAGTTCAGAACTCAGTAGGCCTACATGTTTCATTTGATTTCATTTAGGTGAAATTATCTAATCATTCACGCAGAGATGCAATCAATGACAGGAGTTGTCACTACAGTATAGTAGGTGGGTTCGAAACCCGAGCCCGTCGAAGTTTTCAGGCATTGTCTACCCCTCTATCTCTCAATGTAACACACTCTCTGGAATAAAGGCACTATGGCAAAAAAAATAAAAATAAAATAAAATCTTAAAAAAAAAAAAATTGATTACTTTTTAACATTATACTCAAAAGGCCAGTAAATATCACCCCGGGGCCGGATTTGGCCCGCGGGCCGCCAATTGAATAGCCCTGGCCTAAACGGTGTATTAGGTCACTGAAAACTGTACTTTTTTAAAACTCCTGTAACTTTTGTAAATCAGTGGCCAGATTGGTTTCAGATTGGTTACTATTAGTCAAAGTGTGCAATGTTATCTCCATTGTGAGGCGTCAATAATGAGACTACATGCTGCGTGCAACAGCAGTTTAAATGCATAGTAACCTTTACAACAGGAGTTTTTACAGGTTTACACATACATTTACAGTTACCCTTTACTATATTGAGGATAAGAGGGGATAATTGCTAAGGAGGTCACTTACTGCTACGCTATCCAACACTGTTTAAACAACACAGTTGTGGCAACATTGTAGATTTCTCTCTTTTTTAACAAAAGGAGGAAAACCCATCACAAAAACGCCCATGTATGTGCTTCAGACATATGAAATGTTTTTGATACAGGACTGAATAATGAACATGTGCATATGGCTTTCTAGTAGAAGTGTAAAGAAGAAATACCTGGCATCCTTTCGTGGCAGTATCTCCTCTCTCCCCCTAAAAATACACTGAACATGAGAATATGTACAACTTACAGTCATATCATTGTTTTGTTTTGACACTGACAGTTAGATCCAAAAAATATCATGCTGTTCGAGGAATTAAAGAAGAAAAATAGCATCAGTGTCCTGTTGACAGCATAGAGAAAACAAAACCTAGCATGTGAATCATACTGATCTGGATTAATTTATTGTATTTATGAGCCTGGGCGTTCTTTTTCTGAAGTGTGAAGGACAACCTTTAACACCATTCAAATGAATCATGTCATCTAAGCAAAAAATGAATAATACATAAACAAGTATTATGTTAAGTTGTCAACATTTCGACAGTACATCGTGTAAATGTACTCCTGACAGCTAAAGCTATAAATCATTTATAAAGTGCATTGATATCTTGCCAATTGTAGACTTCATTAAGTCATTAAACAAAACCAACCAGGTCATTGATTTTAATTGGTTCATGTACACTCAGTGGCCACTTTATTGGGTACACCTGTACAATCTCATACAATCTCATACAAACCACTTCATCTGTTGTGCCATAAAGTTTACTTTTACGATGCTTATAAATGTTTTTTTTACTCTGTATAATTTACAATGTAATTTAGTCCAGTACAACAGCTCTGCATACTAAAACCGTAGTAATTCATTTTACCCATTCCTGACAATGCTAACAAAACCTCAACATTATAAACCTCGACAAGGAGTTATTTATGGCAGAGCTGTGTCATTGAATACCATGAGATATCCGGTATAGCTAATACATTTCTCACTGAATAAATGTTATTATATGAATTGACTCTCACCTTGTGACCTTTGAACCCCGGCAGCCCCATGGCACCCGGCAGACCTGGTAAACCCGAGTCCGCTGTTGAGCCCTGGAAAGGTCAAAGATTATCGATGTCTTAAAATCAATGGCTAGCAGTCGTGAGGTTCATATGTCTTGGCATTCCTCAAACTGGCCATTTATTTCAAAATAGATTGAAAACAATTGCCTGTCTTTGTTTCAAAATCCATCAAGGGAGCAGAAAACTTGAGAGTTTTCGAGGTGTGTTTGACAACTTGCTGTGACAACTTCCCTGGTTAAATATGGGTTTTAAAGATGTTTGATTGAAAGATTTTCAAGCTCCTCTTTACAAACGACTCGGTACTCATTTCCTAAAATTAATAAATGCTTGATGATCCACTTTCAAAAGAATGTAGTTTACCTGCAATTCAGTAGCACAAAAGAAAGACACAATGGTTGACATTTATGGGCATAATTGCTTTAAAAACATGTCACTGAACAAACAAAGAATAGCTGTTACTCGTCAGCAAGATCCGAAATGCAGGCTGTTGGAATAAGAACTGTCTAGCAGGTTGAGAGGAAACAGAAGGAGAATGAGGTTGGTTTAAGAGAAAAGGCAAAAGCTGTCACCCTGATCCCTCAGGGAGGAATCAGTAGTGCCCTCACTAATCCGACCGCCATGTTGAATTTTCAAAAGCTCACTGTAGTAGGAACTAACTGGGACTGGGGAATAGAGGTGCATTTATTTTGCATGCTTTTGGCAAGGGGAGGCTAAGGGACAGACAACTGTAGCAGAGACCATATGGGGAGAGTCAAAGAGTAAAACAACAAGGGACACCGCAGGAGAGGGAAAAAAAACCTGCTGCTCTCTACATCTGAGCCATTGGTTTGGAGTGATTCTAGAGGGTCTTATGTGACTTTCGAGGGAAAGCAGATGCTATTTGAAGTGGTTCCAGTGCAGTATAGAAGATAAACTTAAGGCCACATCTCAGGTTCTGAATATTTTAGCATTTTGGGACAAAATTAGTGGCAATAGACTTGCGTTAATTGCACAATTAAATGGCTGAAGAATAATGACATCACCGACATTTAGATACCTGCTTCTGCTATGCAATTCTGTCAACCACATGGTACAACCTCATGGGGAAATGAGGGCTCAATATGAAGCCCAAAAAAAAGGCGGACATCGTTTGAGGTTGGCAAAAGTGTCAGTTTCCTCTTTAGACTTCATTTCAAGACAGATCAGAAGACTTAAATCACTCATCTGCAGCTATGGAGTCAGACCCAGATGTGATAAGCTTTGCATAATGACCAGAGACAGGGGCACAGTTTGGCTTTGTGGAAAGTTAAATTATGAAACCATTGTTTAGTTGTTGAGGTTGCTAGGTTTGGAAACGTCATGCCTGTACAGAGACCATAACCAAAGCATGTGCTCAGAAACTGTATCTGGCAGCCCACCCTACAGCCGAAGGGGCTGCCCAGAAATGCTCGATGGGCACATACACTGTTGTCCCTCAAGAAATAGTTACAGCACATAACCCAACTCGTAACACAACAAATGTAGTTTTTGTAAAGATTTAACAAATTAGATATGTGTTAATCAGTGCTTTTAACAGATGCCTGTAGGTAGATTTTCCACTTAGCGAGCCATTCCCCCCTGCAATGTCTGTAATTATCTAATGTGAGAATAAATTAAAAAAGCGATACAGGAGGAGGAAATTATGCAGTGTTGGAAAGCTGTGAAGAAAGAGGTTAAAGGAAACAATTTAATCTGGCCAAAAATCTGTTGCTCCACTCACCTTCTGGCCTGGTGGACCAACAGGACCAATGACACCTGGTTCTCCACACTTCCCCTAAATAAAGCACAAACACACGCACACACGTAAAACACAACACACTTGTCTGGAAATTCTTCTGAGGGCATAAGCTTGACAACAATTATTACCAAATCTAATACTTAACTAAATTTGTAGGACTATTTTTAACCATATAAATCTAAAGACCAGCACACACAGGTCAGTAGAAGCATATCAAAGTGTGGTTTCAGCAAAGCATGGACAAAAGGTTTTTGGCAGTGGAATATAAATCACAATGTGTGGTGATCAATCATTATCCTCTCACCTAGTCACATGATTGGTATAAACCCTTACTAACAGCTGTGGTGCATTACGAGAAAGCTTTAATTTAGAAGAGAAAGTTTTACTGAGTATTAAAACTAAAAGTGTTGATTAGGCGATGATATTGACTTTGCTGCCTTTTACATTGGTGGAGCCTGGTTGTGTCATGTTGTTGACTAAAATATCTGGGAATTTTGATGTTGATGGAAGAATAATTTTAGAAGAAGTAGAAATTGCATAATGTGAAAATACTGTGTCCTTCCTTTTTCATGTGAGTATAATAACAGAAGTCTCAGTAAAAGTATTAAAGTGTCACGGAATAAAAGTGGCCCTATTCAGATCAATGTATTATCATATTTGCATCATCGGCTATTATTACTGACACATTAGCGTGTAAACTGTCAAAAAAGGAGGAGGATTATATATGTAAAGGCTACTTATACTGCTGGGTGGATTTACCTTTAAAATGAATCATTTTAATAAGCTCCTTATACAGTAATATAAGTATTTCTGTTACAGTATGTTATTTGATGTGAAGGATACTTTTTGGTGGTTTTATCACAGATTTAAAGTAGTAAATGAAAAGTGCAATTTTGTGTAATGCAGCCAATGTTCAGCAAAAGTCTAATAATCTGGTAACAACAGTTCTTCATTATGATCATGTTGAAGTAGCTATCCAATTTATTACATTCATAATTAAGGGTGTAAAAAAAGGCCACATTTGTTTGTATTCAAATCCTGATGATGTATAATCTTGTGTCTTTGAATGTGTAGAAAGAGTAAAAAGGGAACTGTGTGTCCATTTTCTGAGGATAACTAAGGTAAACCAGGAACAAAACAAATACCAAACCCGTCTGATGTTTCCAGAAGAACAGAAGTTTATGCTATATTTTGCAGCAGCCTGATGTTGGTATGCATGATTTAATCCAAAGAAACCAGAGGATCATGTAGTGCTGTTGTTCCATCTGCAATTATTTGCTACAGATTGAAATCAGCCTGCCGACTTCTGTGGGGATTTATCAGCTGACAGGGAAGTTCCCATCCAGGTGTCAGGATGTGTATATTATTAGAAGTGTTTATTTATGTAGTGTGTATATCTATGTTTGTGTGCTTACTGACTGATTAAATTAGTAGTTTCCATTCTGCTCCTCATTCTCAGCATACTGAGGGCAAAGGTTCACCTGTATTTGCATGAAACTCCCATCCTTCACTCACTCTCTTCCCATCTTTGTGCATCCTGCATGTTGCACTGAGTATACAAAGTCCAGGGGGACAGGAAATGTGCCTTTCTAGGTCATGGAAATATGAAAAAGGCCTCTTGTGCTTTTCAAAACAGGGCACTCCACTTTACAGATAAAGGTTAGGTTACTTGTAATTCTTGCAGCATTTTGGATTTGGACAATTCTGATTATCATTTGTTTCATGCAAATCCCCTAACTTGATGTAATGCAATAATAAAATCACTAGAGTACCCCTTCAAGCCCCCTTATTAAGCAACCTATTGAAAGTCCTCACTTGCATACATTTTTAAAAGATGCACTTTGAAGGGGAGAAATACAAAACACCACGACAGTTCCAATGAACTGTCCTTGGCAGAATGGAATGTATCACATATTCAGCAAGAACACCTTCAATTTGATTCTAAACAACTTGCCTCCCTCTCAGCAAAATGCAGTTTTCTCTACGGGAACATCAACGGAACAGGGAGGGAGGGTACAGCCGTAGAACAGACTGAGAATAGCCGAGCGGCTTGGGAGAAGCAGGCCATTAGCATAATAACTAATTAAAACGTTCAACACACAGACCTTGGGACCATCGTGGCCGCTCTCTCCGGGCGGCCCCTGGGGTCCTTGGATTCCCTGGACGAAGAAAAAATATAGGGGTGAGAGAAGGGGAAGGGGAAGGGGGGGGTGACAAGAGAGGGAGGGAATGAGAGGGAGAGAGAGAGAGAATGAGATGAAAGAGACAGGCACACTGCTTTGGGCTGAATGTGACAGAGTGCGTGACGGCTTAGTCAGGAGGCACTGAGGAAGAAATGAGATGGCTCAGGTCCACTCACACACGCACGCACACGCACACGCACACACACACACACACACACACACACACACACACACACACACACACACACACACACACACACACACACACACACACACACACACACACACACACACACACATACAATCGCATACAAACCTATGCACGCCCATACACACACCAGTTTGCATTTTCAACAAAGCCTTCTGCTATATCAATAGCCCTATATTCCCAGTTGCCTTCTTAAGAGTCACACACACACAGACACACACAGACACAGAGGCACACACACGCACACACAAACACAAATACATATACTGATTGACTGCAAGGGCATTTGAGCCTGATTTTAATAAAAAGGCAAACCATAATAAAGAACATGTTTATCATTCCTTTAATATGATTGCACAAAAATGTATATTTGGCGATTCAGGTCATGTTCTTTTGTGGTATTATAAAGCATCCCATTGACTGATATTAAATGTAACTTATTGGATTGATATGGACTTTGAGGTTGTATATTTTGAAGATAATTTAAGAACATCTGGGTTGAATCCGATCTATTTAGACCTTGTTCCCATGTTGAGTATTTTTTGGGAGCATTCATCTAGTGTGTGGTAGCCTATTTTTCTTCATAATAATATGATCATTCATGACACAGTTTCACAAATATGAAATGAACGATTTCAAAGCTTAAGGGTTTGAATGATTCATGTTGACATTTGCATCTCCACATGTTTGCCCTTTCAGTTTGTAAGAGGTTAACACAAGCCAATAATAAATGTGATAGTGTGCTGCTGAAACAGTGATTGTGACAATATAGAAACATGATACACAATTTCAAGAAACAAGAATCATTCCATTTATTTTTCTATTGATTAATAAGGAGCTAAACCAGCAGTATGCACACTGGAAATGCCACATTTGATTGGTGTTGGCAGGGTCAACTGACAATTAGGTTGACGTTTATGTATAGTTATTTTATGTAGTTGCCTGGATACAGCGGGAGGCTTGCCCTACTTCCTCCATCTGTGTGTGTGTGTGTGTGTGTGTGTGTGTGTGTGTGTGTGTGTGTGTGTGTGTGTGTGTGTGTGTGTGTGTGTGCGTGTGTGTGTGTGTGTCAGATAAGTCAAACCCACTGGAGGCGTTACGTCAGAGCTGTGTGCTGTTCTACTGACAGAAATAGAAAGAGGAAGATGAAGACTAATAGATGAAGCTTGTGGTTGAAACAAGGTGCAGCAGGCTACACCAAATGTCCAATATTTATCAACACATAAGTGTGGTAAAGTACAAGCCAAATGCAGATAGATAGAATAGATAGAATCTGGTATGAATCCATTTTAATTGAATAATAGATGATGACAAATAAAGGTCATTAAAAATCTAGTTTTTTCAAAAGCCATCTAAAATAGGTTTCCACGATGGAAATGTGTCTTTTCTTATGTGTTTTAAATTCCATGCGATTCAGTGTTCACTCGATTAACTCTTCCCTCTCTCTATCTGTGCTGTCTCACTTTGACCACAAGGGGGCGGCAGAGCTAAAAGGAATATATACCGTCCAATAACCACCATGGAGTTCTGTGTATTCACTATGCTCTGCTTTAATTGCATCTGGCCGTGTGTAATCTTGTTTACCAGAGGGGGGTGCCCTGACTGTGTGTTCAGCCATAAACCAACACACACACTCATCTGACTTAGGTTTCTAAATTAACAGCCACTCACCACCTTAATGGCATTGCTAAGTAAATCAAACGGACTCATATGGTGCCTGGGCAAAATTAATGATCTCATTATGAGCTCACTGCAGAGACAGTAATGTGAATTGTAGTCTGGGAGATAATACTGTATTCTTTCAAAGACACATGTGAAAGATGGTGGGAATGTGCTTTACATTAGTGGATCCCCTTAGGATTCAATTGGTCCAAGTAGGCATGGACTGGAAGTAATACCAGTGTAATGATCCCTTATATATATAGGATCACTGTATGGGCCCTTTGGACAATGTTAAATGTGTCAATCCTTCACCTTCCAAATGGGGCAAAGGTCAATAACCTTCAATTATTTAACAATTTATTTGGCAAGGGTATTTTCTACTTGTTTACTCTCCATTTGGGATGGCTTATTCCCTATGTACTGCAGTAATTGTCATTGCCAAGTCTATGGTTGCTTGGGACGATAGTTAGAGAAATGTGTGTAAATAAAAAGGCCTCAATGTGCTTCCAGCAAACTAGGCATTGATCACGTCGAAGGGCATGTTTATATCTAAATGGTCACATGTCAGGTAAGTCTATAAGTATTCTGCCTGGTTCTTGCTTGCATCATTTAAGTACTTAACAGAGAATTGTGCAAATTGAGGTCATTGCAAACCCTTTCTTACAGTCTTTGTTCGAAGACGTTCATAGTGTACATTAGATTGCAAATTTGAAGGAAGTCGCGGAGTGAAATCATTTTAAGATAGAGGGTTGAAAGAAAATTGCAACCCTTGCCTGATTTTCACAAATTGCCAATTGCTGTGTTAAGTGGGCCTAATTTTCTATTTCAGAAAGTGACTGTCCTCATTCAGAAAGAGGGTTTCAGACGCTGCTAGATGACCTGAAAAGCTCTTTGTTTGATGGAGGTACATGCTGTCCCTAAAGTTGTGGAAACTTTAGCAAAAAGTGACAATAACACCTCCAGCCATAGATTTTGCTGAAACAATGAGGTATCAATCGTGTGAATCATCTTTATTGAATAATTTCAGCATGTTGAAGACAACTGAAAGAGTGATGAAGTTGTACAAACCATTGTCCCGTTAATTCCTGTTGGCCCTCTTGGCCCAGGCAAGCCTCCTTCTCCCTAAAAAGACATTTAAGAACAGAACACAGAAAATAAAGAACTGATGGAAGTGTATTTTACATTTCCAAGGGTTCTGAAAAGTTACTATAAGGTCACATTTTACCTGTGGTCCTTTTAGGCCCACTTCACCAGGAGGTCCCTGAACACCCTGTGAACAACAAAGTTATGGTTCACATGACTTCACATCAAGTTTCATACACAGTTGATAAATGTTATATCATTTATGCAACCTATTTTATTAAAATGCAAAAGTGACAGCACAAAGAAAACATTAGGAGGTCTCTATGGCATTGTGTGTTTACGTCTAAGTCTATTCACTGTTACACCTACCTTGTTCTGAAATGTTCAACCATATAATATATGACTTTATTGGTCTTCTCATCCATTTCAGTCATAAAATAAGAATAAGAAGTGCAAGTGTCACATAGTAATGTCACTATGTTACGGAAGTAAACAAAGGAGTTCAACAATAGGTGTTTCAGTGTGGGAGGTGTGGTCTTGAGTAAACTTTGTGATTTTAGCCTTAGCAGACCATTTACATGCACAAAAACCTATATAACACACTACAGAAGAGAAACCCAAAAAATGCACAATAGGGCCACTTTGAATGCTAAATAACAAGAGAGTAAGTAGACCTTGAATGGAGATTGCTTTGTAAACAGCTAAATTAAAACATAAGCTGTCATTCTCTAATTAAAGTAATTTCCGACTGCAGCTGTTAAATCCACTTTACAGTACCTGTCCAACATCAAATAGCAGACAGACACAGTTAGAGACAAGCTGGTGAACATTTAGCCGCTAAAGAGACAGATATTTCCCTCGGGACTCACTTTTGGACTTGTTGGACATATAATTCTCCATGTTGCTGGAATAACGACTGCAAATGACTACCATGTTGTTTTGCATCTGCTATGATGTGTAAATAGGAAACAGTTTTCTAACACATTTGGCAATCAGCTTAATGAGGTGATAATATTTCAATGTTCTGCTTGTTGAACTGATTTCAATAATCAATTCATGTAATTGTAAGGTTTTCCAGCAAACTCACAATTTCTATGCACATTCCCCTTTTTAAGAAATGTCAGAGGTTACACACTTGTGAAAACAAAAAGGAACTTAGAGTTGTAAAACAAGGCTGGACGACAGATTACACTATTTTTACTGCAAGATATAATGGATGCAAAGCAGGTTCCATAATATAATAATTTAACTGAAATCCCTTTTTGCATTTTTTTTTCCTATTAATTTCTTTTCTTTTCAAATTCAAAATCCTACTCAAACAGATTGATGGAATTATCAAATATATTCATCAATGTAAAAGTAACTATTTGTGTGACTTGGCAAGTAGATCTCCACTCTAGGCAATGGTACTGATATAAGTGCATTTAAGTTAATATGAATAGGGGTTACTTAGGCTTTATCCTGTCATGTAATGGAATATCAAACAGATGTTAGACTATGATCTGGGAATAGTTAAAGGCTTTAGAAAAGTGGCTCTGTTTAAGAATCCCATACCTGTCATGCCAATACAAATGGCTCATGCTGGAGGATCAAAGTGCTTTTGATTCAGACTTTGTGAACCTGCACTGATGATTCCACTACTGATAAGCTTCCTGTGTGTGATAAAATACATTAAGTGTAATCCTCTGGCTTTAAAAAAAGTCTGATAGATCCGAATATCAGTGGGTTCTGACACGGTGGCTTTACTTCAATGACAACATCGGGGCTTTTTCATCAAGAAGACTTCATGTGTACTCTCTTTCTTCCTCTATGAGTCTGCCTGACAGGGTGTCACATTTCAAAGTGAGAAAAGCAAAAAGACTATTCTGAATTAATCCAAATGGTTTGTCAGATAGTGGAGGAAGTCAATGTGGAATTATTATCAGATTCCAGGGTTTATTCACTGCGATTAAAACTAAACTAATAACACTGATTCAAGTTTTGGGGCATTTTAGGTATCAAGGAGACGGTCTCCAGGTGATATATGAAATATGAGACGCATTAGTTTTTTGGTTGAACGCATTTGCATTTGCATCAGGGTGATAACAAATAATTCAAGAACACATTAGAGTAAAGTGGGCCCTGCATCATAACATTCGTCTTACTCATCCATCTCTTGTCAGCATACCCGCAAGTCTTTGGATGGATTTGGATATATGACTCAGAAAAGTAAAAGGTTCGGACGACACGTGAGGCCAGAGAAGTGAGTGAGAGGCAAACCCTTTGGTTTAAACAACAACTACTAATCAGTTCTGGACTGATGTAAAAGTATAAACAGTAATAACAAATGTCATGAAGTCTAAAACAATTCCAAAGATCCCAAACCAAGCTCACAGCATTTAGTGGAATGCATATTACACTTTTTTTATTCAACCCATCAGTTGATATAAAAATTAACTGTTTTAACTTACAATATGGTTAGCAACTAAGCTAATGTAGCCAGGCATTACATAATGAAGAAAAGAACATGATGTTTTTCGCAATGAGGACTTTATATAAACTTATTTTTTCAAAGCATAACGTGTGTTGGCCAGGGCTGGCCCCTCGCAAAATTGTGTGATGAGGCCCCCGGCTGTACCCAAGTCGTCGCTCCTGTCCTACTGTGGCGCGCATACTGTAGTTGCGCTGCATTTGCGCATACACTGTAAGATGAATTGCGCCGCATTTGCGCATAAGATGAGGCACCCTCCGCAAGATGAGGCCCCACGCATGTTCGGCGTGTAGGGACAATAATGATTGTGTGCCAAATTGATCCTTCTTACATTTTCAGATATCTATTAATTTTCACCCAAATTGTTGGTTTGCTCAAAGAAGAGAACATGCTGTGTTAGTTTGTCAAATGTGAACTTTGTCCTGAATTTGTACAAATTACCAATTTCAAACTGTCTTTTCAGTGCTGATCTAGACAATCCAATTAAGTCAACCCCTTTCGATTATCTACGGCACGTTTTTAACTGTACAGCATTTTATTTTAGTGTCTGAATTCTCTGTGTGAAATGTTAAGGCTAAATGGTGCCCTTAAAAACACCCAGATATAATTAATTAAGTGTCTCACTCAAAGGATTGAGTGAAAAGGGAAGTGCTTTTGAACACAGCAACTGCTTTAAATGCTGAGGTGCCTGAGCCTTTAGCGTGACATTCCAATAAATACACCTCTTTGACGTCTAATCCAAAATCAGATCATCCATTCAATATCCTTGTATAATGTGACACCTCCAAGCTACAATCCAAAATACCTTGTTTGCTCACTAAAGATTTGTATGATAGAAAAAAAACAGATTGAGGTGATCTGGCCAAGACAGGTGTGTACTGGGACTCTTGTATTTAAATTGCTGCAGTGTTCTTTCCTCAGCTTGGCACACTGAAGGATGAAAAAGCTTATAGCTGTCATTTATTGATATATCATCTCTGAGCATTAGGGACAAAAACAGGGCCGGGACATGTTAGCTTTGCACAAAGAGAAGAGGCTTATGGATGCTCAGTTTCTAGAACGTTTTGGATTTGTATATAACTCCTGATCAGCGTATCCCCTGCTAAAGTCCATATTGTACACATAGCCATTATATGTCTCCGGACACCCTTGGACACTTGAAGACATGAGTTTTAACCAATCAAGTAGAGGCAAACCATCCATAGAATTATTATATTTTAAAGTTTATTCCGAAATGTTTAGAATCACTCCATTCAGGGATGCAGTTGTGACCACATACATATGTTTGTGTGATACTCAAACACACTGAAACTGACATAAATACAGTTTAATGCAGTGTATGTAACAAGGCAATTACATGTTGGACAATGTGGTGAATAAAAAATCGGGCTTTACAGTTTTTGTTTTACAGTGTTCAATGTAACAATTAGCATGATAGGAAGGGAGGTTTTGGTTTTGTTTGTTGCTACTCTGTCCCTGCTAAGGTCTGCATGGGTGTCAACTGTATTTTGTACAGCGTGGGCAACCTACATCCAGACATACTCAGCGTCTGGATATCAGCACTTAAGGTTGTGTAACTAGCAATGACAGGAAAAACAAACCCCACAGTGTGTGTGTGGATTTAGTGTGTAAATCGGTATGTGTGCGATGCTTTACACAGTGCCTCATTTAAAGTGTGAATGTGTGGTGGTGAAGTGACAGTGATGAGTGTACCAGTCCAACACGTGCAGACACAAGATGTTAAAGTGTGAACATTAAGTGCATAAACATTGAATCAATATTGAATTGACCTTGACGTTTTAAATGGTTGCACAGCCCTTTTTATATGATGCTGTTTCCAATGTCCTTGTATTGGCCTTCAACAGTTATGATAAACAAATATCATGAGATATGCAGATGGGTATTTGTTTGTTCCATAAAATAAACACATTTTTTGCCGTTTCTGGTATGGGTGGTTCCAACTGAAAAAGTCAATGAGAGCTAATAAGAAAGAATGGACTGTAACTTTGTTTGAAAGATAGAACATTCTGCCAAATTAATTAATTTCTTTCAGCATTTAATCAAGCCTGACAGACACAAAGGCTTAGGACAGCTTGGCCCATTCTGTTGAGTGTGTTTTGTGCGTGTGTGTGGGCAGTGAGTTTACTAGCGCACAGCAGTGTGTAAAAGCTGCAATGAATCTGAGCTCTTGTTTACACCCTGATTACTCTTTCTTTCAAATCTTTATGGGACCATTTAAAAAACAGTCGCTTGTTATATCTACAGAATGCTGAGTTAACAGGAATTGCGTTTTGTAATTAGACTATGCATTTAGAGGCAGCTATAACACTGAGCACTCTGTGAATTTTTCTCCAAAAGATGCATTAATACATTCATCATTGTAATTTGTCCAGTCTTTTGATTGCTGCATATTCATGACAGAGTAGTATTATTCATGACAGAGTGGTATTATTTGACAGATATCACATTTTTACATTGTAACATCACTTCAAGCAGCATTCTATTATACATAAAATCAGAATCAACTCACCACCTCGCCTGGAGCTCCAGCAGCACCACTGTCTCCGCTCTCCCCCTAAGGACACAACGGAAATGTCAGTACATGTTCACTCTGCAGGTAGTATTGTAAAGAATTATGCAGGATACTGTTAACCTTATACTGTAGTATCCAAGCATTATCACTCAATCCCATATTCATATCACACATATCCCTTCGAAAGATGACACTGAACAGAGGATACGATGAAAAGAATACAGAGTATAATAAGAATAAGAGAAACGAACGGAGAATAAAACAGGGTGCACTGCCATGTCATTTCACATTTCAGCATGTTGCAAGCAAAAACAACGAAAATCATTCTGGCTTGAAATAATGAGTTCGTTAGTTAATGGGGCCTTTTTATATGTTGGGGGGATTTCCTTTTCCTGTGTGTTATATAATATAACATATGATGTGACATTAAACCTTTCTAATCTTGTATATTTTAATCTTGAATATAGGTTTTTGTGCATGGTCTGCTAAGGCATCATTATACATGATTGGTTGAGGGGCGGGACATTTCTAAAAGGTTGACCAATCACAACCAACTAGAGCAGATTTGGTGCGATGCAGAGTCACAAAATGCAAACATGTACCTGAAATAAGCATAATATGGCCCCTTTTTTTACATTTCTTCATGTAGTGTATTCTGGTGTATTATTGCACTAGTTACACTTTCAATGTGTTATCATTATTCTTATTAATACCAACTTTTTTCATGGCTATATGTGAACTAAAGAGTATTCATATCATAGTTTATGTTGTACACTGTATATAATGTCAGACAATTGTCATTACCTGTAGGCTACTTGCACTTGTACTGTTTACTTTATACATATGCCTGCACTGCCTACTATAACTTCTTCACATGTTACAATTCTTTATCCTGAATCCATCTAAGTATATTCATTACACACTGTTCTCATTGTGTATATTGAAGCATTACTATCACACACAGCTCATACGTTTCACTGCTCATTACCAACTGTTCAGATAGGCCGGATAGGGGAAAGTGAGGATCCCTTGGCATCACTTAAGTGATAGGCAACACTACCTGGTTAGGTTAGAAAAAGGTAATGATTTGGGTTAAAATGTGGTTATTTGTATCGTACCCCTTTCTATACCACATGACATATGTACATTACTATGCACTTCAATGCTTGTAGCACCTCTATTTTGCTGCTAAACTGCATTTTGTTCTCCTTTGACTTGTGCAATGACAATATTCTAATAATCGTCAGTCAGTTGCAATGGGAGAATAAATTATCAATTGTTAATTGACATACATGCAAAAATATTGTACAGGAATTAGGTCAATAAAGATCATGCGTCTTCTTATTGTATCATATGTTAGTCACACAGGGAAAGTAATCTATCTGTACTTCTTGCATACACCAGAATGGTTGGATATGGCGTGTCATGAGTTTATCTGCGGCCCTGATACTGACGTACAAACAGCAGGCGAGTCCTGTGGTCAGACATCTTGCAAGGAGGCGGGAGCTTGTTAAATAAAAATGAACAGCAGCAAACAAACACATTTTGAAGCCACAACACAAGTTTTAACCATCCGCAACACACCAAAATCTACTGCTTGGTTTAGTCTCAGACCGCTCTATACAGTTTAACTATGTTGGTTGAATGTATTACGACCCAAGTGGTATGTGAACATGTTCCAGAGTGTACCGCGGCAATACACTGACACTGAATGTGAAACAAGCTGTAAAATGTATTCTGGTATCCAAGCCATTCATTTGTTAAATTACATTATATTTTCTGCATATATCAAACCTGATATTGTCGTGTCCCAACAAACAGACCAATTCTTATGGCCTTTGTGGCGTTTATTTGATTTATCAATTAAATGTTCTTTCACTTTGTCTTTTGTTTCAAATTCATCCATGTACTGCGTTAATCATGTTGCATGTTTTGTGTATGTCTTGCTTTTTTTTATCATATTGGGATCATGTTATAAATAAGAATCTCACTCTAACATCTTTGGATTTGTTGTTTTTTGCACATCAGTAAATGAATCAGAAATAAAAAATGTTAATCTTAGAGTATCCAATGACCTAGTGGTTGAAGCCAACAATTGTTTTCGTTTGTCAGGAAATCAAAACTCACAATTTATCAATCTTTCAATACTTTTTGACCACCTGGCACTCAAGTCCCAAGCCAATTGGTTCTAACTGAAGGCATAACTATTTTATAATGGTTCACAAATATATATTTTCACTTAAAAAAGACCTCAATATTTTCCAAAAAAACTGCTGAACACTATTATTTTAGCAAATAATACTTTTGTAAACCTTTGTATTAATACACAGTTGATACTTGAGTAAGTCTATTAAAATTCAAAACTGTGCATGGTAATGAAGGAACATGTCCCCAAGTGTGTCTCACATTGTGTTTTAATTGTTAGTTTTTTGACCAAAAAATGAAGATCTATTTCACAAAGGAATAACATAAATCAGGCCTTGGTTACACACATAATCCTTGTGAGTAGAATACATGTATTGCTGGTTTAAGTATGCACATAGGACTTATTAAGAATAAGGAAAATATAGAATATCACTGCAATATGCCTAGTACTATTCCGGTCTCGGAGTTTTCGTTATTTGTCATACCCCATTACATAACTTAGGTGCCTTAAAAAGTCAATATCAATGATAAAGACACGTTTTAAAGATTGTTGAAAAACAAAACTGAGAGGCAAACAGTGAAAGGTAAATGTAATGTTGCTAAACTTCTAACTACTTTATGTTCTTGATGTTAAACTCTGAAGGTCCCACACAACAAACAGTGGAACACCAAACTGTCTGTGCGTCATGATGGACAGATCCCAGCACTGAGATTGGATAAATGTAGTAAATGTGATTGGACATGATTGTCACAGACTGTGATCTGTCCTTGGTTCAGAAAATAGAGCCCTAGATAATATTATGCTTACACTTTTTATTCCATGACATGTTTGTGGCTCTAAAATACTTTACATGATCACATATGGATAAACCATAATACTGTCCCAACATTTTTAGACATGCTTACAATATAACTAAGGCCGGTCTGTGTCTGGCTGTAATGTATGGTCCTTAAATGTATTTAAATTGGTTATTTAAAATAAATCCTGTGAGTAATTGAAGTTGACTTGGCTTAGGACCTACTCTTGTTGAACCTGGTCTTCCTCTTAACCCAGATTCATATGTTCTAACTATAGTCCTGTGTCAGTGCTCTGCACCGTGTCAAGTATGACACCCAAAGATTTAAATTACTTTCTTTCTGTTCAAGCTCTCTGAAGACAGAGATTACAAAGTCCCACCAACATATATTTTAAGTGCAGCGCTCTGTATGTTGGCAGTGAGGAAACAACTGAATTAGCTCTCCACTGCGTCTGTTTTCTTTTGAAGTGTCTCACCGCACTACGCATATAAACCCATAAGAGCAGCAGACCTCATAATTACACAGCCAAGACGCCCACCACGGCCCAATAAATGACAAGATGACATAAATTCTCTATGCGTAGAACAAGAGAAAATAGACAAGTGCACAGGGACTGGTCCAAGCAGAGAGCTGACTAACCTGCTACTGCCACAGGTTGTTAAAGCTATTGTAAAAGAATGCTTGACGTCTTTTAGTCTAGCTATACTTCAATGAATTTTGATAGAGGATCTCAATGAAAGGTTGATTAAAGACAAAGACAGCTAGCAGAACCATGCAATTAAAAAATAGAGTCTGTGTCTGACCACATCCTTTTATAACAAAGGATCACACTTAACCGTGTCTTTTGTTCAGTTACTGCCCCAAGTGAGAGTATCCAGTTTAGCTAGTTCAGGCTTCACTTCTGGACACATCCATTTGTAATTTCAAGGCACGTCCGATCGGCAAGAGACTCCAGGCAGACCCAGAACACGCTTACTAGGGATTCCTTTACCAATCTGACATGGCAACACCTTAGGATTCCCCTGGAGGAGCTGGATGATGTGGCTTGGGAGTAATGTGTCCCTATTCATACATAGGGATGTTTATAGTACATGTCTGGAGTTTGTATACACGGTATAAAAGCACCAAAATTCCCAGATGTTGCCACACTAAGTAAATCTGTCACGTATCTAAAATCGCACAACAATTTCAACAACTCATGGAAGGTCAAAGCGTTTTGACACAGCAAGTTCCAGAAAGAAAAACACAATCATTCAAGATTAATGAAGTTAAGGCAGAGCACTGAACAGGGCTAACATTAATTGACTGGAAACAGCTGCTTCAATTATGCTCCAGCATTAGTTCCTCAATCATCAGCTACTACCAGATTTTTTGTGACATCCAATCATATTCATGCAAGTCTACAACCACTCTAACTATAAGTCTGATGCAGCTTTCCCAACCACCCTTCAACTCCTCTTATGCTTACATTTTGGAATAATTTAATTAATTAATCAGTGCACAGAAACAAATCCTCTTACAGGAGTTGGCAGTAGCTTAGTCCTTAGTGACCTGGGTTGGTAACTTGCTTAGCTAACTTGTTTAAGTGCAGAGTGTGGGCTGGTACCTAGAGAGGTATTTCTTAGCCACTGCCAACGTGCCCTCAAGCAATGCTCTTGTCCCCTTCCGCTTCATAATAGCTGCCATGCCCACTGCTCCTTAAATGCAGAGTTTACATTTAAATGTGTGTGCTGTGTGCATGTGTCAATGAATCAAATATTCTATTCAAATTCTCAAGACAAAATAAATAGGGGGGCAGTTGGTGAGTCCAAAGTATATTGGCTTGGCAATAGGAGGGTTGCAAGTTCAAGTATAACAACAAAGCCATTTCATTTTCTAGGCAAATGTCTCAGTTTCCATTTCAATTAAAAGAGAATATCAACATACTATATACATCATATATATGTAACCCCCATACTTGTTATACACTGTTCTTTACTTTCTAAAGAAGCTTTAGAAAACATCCAGCTGCTAGGTGTCTCCTTCATAAGTTAAAAATTAGGAAAAATCTGACTTGCAACAAGGTTGATTAATTATAACCTCAAAATATGTAAATACCC